GGGGGGGGGAGGGGGGGGGGGAGGGGGGGGGGGGGAGAGAGAGAGAGAGGGAGGGAGAGAGAGTGGGCCTGGCTTGAGTGTCTGAAACCTTGAAGCCCACCCCCCTCTAAGAAGGTCACACCTACTCCAAGGCCACATCTCCTAATAGTGCCACTCCCTATGAGCCTATGGGGGCCATTTTCATTCAAACCACCACACATGGGTATGCAAGTGTGTGCAGGTGTAAGTGCTTATAAAAGTCAGAAGTCAATGCTGGGTGTCTTCATCAGTCATTGTCCATCTTAGTTTTTTGATACAGGGTATCTCACTGAAGCTGGAGCTCACTAGTAACTTCTTAGTCCACTATGTGCTACCCATGGATTCCACCAATGGAGTGTGGTCAACCTACCAGGTGCCGTACCCTTGAAGAATAATGATCTTCCGGATGGGGGATGTCCTTCTGCATATATGTTTATCTTATTGGTTGATGAATAAAACACTGATTGGCCAATAGCCAGGCAGGAAGTATAGGTGGGGCTACCAGATGAGGAGAATTCTGGGGAAAGGAGGCAGAGAGAAGCAGCCAGGGAGACTCCATGCTGTCAAAGGACTAACATGCTGGATTATGGGTAAGCCACAACCTCGTGGCAATACATAGTTTAATAAAAATGGGTTAATAATTAAGAGCCAGCTAACCAATAAGAAGCCTGAGCCATTGGCCAAACAGTTTATAATTAATATAAGACCATTTATTTGGGGCTAAATGGCTGAGGGAAAGAAACTGTCTACATCTTTCCCTTTTCCAGGAATTATCAACTGTTAATAACTCCTCCTTTCAGGGTAGGGACTCATGAGCTCTTCCCCTCTCCATATTATTTTAAGTGGGTGCTGTGGATCAATCCCTGGCCTTTATAAGCACTGACTCTACTCTTAACCAAGCCCGGCCCACTAGTTAGTTTTATATGTCAACCTGGCTAGCAGCCTGTAGTAGTCTGAAATTTGGTCAATGACAGTTTGGATGCTGCTTTGAAGCTGTTTCTCTTTTCTTTTCTTCTCTTTTCTTTTCTTTTTTCTTTTTTCTTTTTCCCCAGAGACAGGGTTTCTCTGCATTGCTTTGGAGCCTGTCCTGGAACTCACTCTGTAGACTAGGCTGGCTTCAAACTCATAGAGATCCACCTGCCTCTGCCTCCTGAGTGCTGGGATTAAAAGCGTGCTCCAGAAGCTGTTTCTTTTAGGTGTTATCAACTTTTAAATTTGTAGACTTTGAGTAAAACACACAAATATCCATAATGTGGATTGGCCTTCTAGTCAGTCGACAACCTCAATAAAAAAAGATTGATCATCCCCCTAAGTAGAGGGAGCTCTTCCAATAGGGTGGCAATACCTACTCTTTCCTGTTCCTCTGTCTAGCCTATGGTTCTCGTGTGTGTGTGTGTGTGTGTGTGTGTGTGTGTGTGTGTGTGTGTGTGTGTGTGTGTGCTTGCACATGAGTGCATGTGTGTTTTGTCCTTGCTCAGTCCAGGGATACACAGAAAATAGACTAACAGAAAACTCTCACTGGCAGTTTCAACAGATAAAGAGAAGGCCGTGTACGGTTCTGAGAGCATTTTGGGTGACTCCATATGAATCAGTTTGCCCCTTGCCTGACATGATATCATACACAGATTTTAAATTAGCTTACTCAGAGAAGTGCTCTCTGGGTATTAATAGGACCTTCTGATGGGCTGCTGGGCCATTTTGCCTTCTCTCCAGCCACTCATTGCCATGTGGTTTCACAAACGAAGGATTCGAGGTACATGAGAGTCATTTGCAACCCAGCCACATATACCCCAGGTTAATGGAAATTTCCCAACTCTTGGCATATGGCTACCTCCTGTAATGCCCAGTGGTATTGCAAGTTCTTACATTTTTGTGTATCCTCATGAGTAAACTAGTGGGAGGTGCAGAGATGATCCAGTAAGCCAGCTGTGGAAAACACCATCTACATTGACCTCAAATGCTGTCCCTATGTCAGCTAGTTCTTCTTAATCTTTATTTTCAGTACCTATTTTATGACTTTCAAAATCTGCTCAGATGTGAGCAACTGAAAGTAACTTGAATTAGCTTAAATAGAAAAGGGGAACTATCACCTAAGAACACAAGAGTTTTATGGAGCCTGGGGGTAAGAAAATATAATTGGGTCTCAATAGGGAAGTGCAAAGCTTTTAGGACTCTCTGCTTCATGTTTTGATTTCCCTCTATAATGTTTCATAGAGATGAATAAAAACAAGTGATCTCAGCTGAGTGCTGAGTGCATCCCACAAGAACCCTTGGAGACAGATATTTTTCAAATCACCTTTACTATACATGAAAGGAGTCTGTGACACAGAGAGGTAGAGGTGCCCACTGTCCCCTTTAGGAGGTGGCAGATACGAGTTTACAGCTCAGCAAATTTGTTCTGGTAAATGTCCCCCTAAATTCTGCATATTGATGTGGATCCAGATTAGGGTGACACCCTAGAGCCTTCTCTTTGCAGGACCCAGCTGCAGGTATTTGAATACCTTCGGTGGTGGTCAGAAGGTGGCAGGGGGAGATGAGGAGCCCATTGGTATGGCTATAACTGAGGAAAACATGGTCTGTGAAACTCTAAGATCTGCTTCTGTGGGAAATTTCCTGTTGGCAAAGTTTATGTCCCCTCTACCATTCGAATCCAACCAAGCAGCCTGCATGGCTACCTTGGAGGTATTTGAGGACTGAAAACTGGGCTGCTGGTATTCTCCAGTCTCATGACTGCCTCAGTACCTCCAACACCCTACTTCCTGTTTTCACAATCTCCATGCACTGTGTGAGACACCCTTGACATGATTCCCAGGTTATACACATCAGAGCAGAGGCTCATGTCTGCCCACACCCACCCTCCTTCTCATAGGACTATACTGTAATGTTCCCTGTTGTCCAGAAAAATATTCCCATTAGAGTGTGTGTGTGTGTGTGTGTGTGTTGTAGCTACACAGCTACCCACATAATTTAAAATATATGCAACATTTCAATTATAAAATTAAGTAACAGTGAAAGGGAATTAATTTGTGACACCATTGTATAAAGGCTCAGGCCTAGCTGGCTCGCACTTAATGAAGTGGATGCTGGCTCATTGCTTATCACAAATGTTTACATTTATAAGAGGTAAGAAGACCAGAAACATCATTGTGGAGAAAGTATAGAAAATGAAAGAGTGGAGGGATATGGATAAATAACAGGCCACAAATGTTTCTAGCTGATGAAAGAAAAAAGAGGCAAAACAGTCAAAGGCATGGGTTGTGCTGAAGCCAATGGCAGCCTGTCAGAAACAAGCAACTTTGGGATCCTCACAGGTGAGCTCCCAATTCACATGAACATGGGCTATCAGAGTGTCTTTTGATATGGAACAGCATCTCAAAAGGAGTTATTAGGAATCTGTTTCTTAGACTGAGCCCCTGGATCAGAGTCATGAGGCTTTGGTGATCCTAAGTTTCAACAGGAAAAGGATTTGGGGTAGGAAGTCATGGCAGTCTGCTCTTCCTGAGCTTAGAGATACGTAATTAGTCATGAATCTCCAGAGAGCCAGAAAACCACACACACACACACACACACACACCCAACACACGCACACTCACACACATACTTATGTACACATACTAACACCACATACATACACCATATATACTCATACATACACTCACAACCCTACACACACACACACACACTCATGTACACACACTAACACCACACACACTCATACACACACTCACAACCCTACACACAGACACACACACACACACACACACACACACACACACACACACACAGACCTCAAAAGGAAAAGAACAGAAAAGGAGGATAATAAGAAAATTTTCCAACTATCCTTTGAGTGGGGCTCCTTAATAACAACACATGGAAAAGCATAAGGGGGCTCATGGTATTTTGGAATGGAGAGAGCATCTTGGACTCCACAGTACAGATGCCTCCAGCCCCCCTCTTTCCAGGGCACAGAACTCAGGCTGCCAGCAGTGAGATTCAACTGCTTTTGTTATAGTTGTCTACTTTTCTCACTTTAGGCTGAAAACCAGGGGAAACTAATAGCAGAAAAAGTTCTTTTACTAAGTCTCGTTCACAGACCCATCATGGTGTTTGGTGTCTTCTTCACAGCCACAGCCACAGGGCTCTTCCAGAGGGGACACATAGTGGCCTGTGAGTCTCAGAACTTCCTGCTTTTCATCAGATTAGGGAAGCCCTGGGAGGACTTCTGGTGGCATCTGTTTTCCTTTACCTCCTACTCAAATTAACACAGTCCTACGACAAAGCACAAAGCAGCATGTTTGGGGATGACATATTCTGATAACACACACACACACACACACACACACACACACACACACACACACACACACACACGGGTGTTACTGTTGTCATGTATATGACATCTACTTTGAGCCAACCAGGCTGATATTTTCTGCTTATAAAGTGCAGAATTAGGGAAGTTCTCTCA